TTCCTTCCCTCTTGGTTTTTTCCCTTGGAAAGAGCCTGTCATGTTTAATTGTGAGTGTGCATGCCAGGCAGTTTGGGAGAGTGTTTTTCCCCAAAAGCTTTCATTACTGCTCATCTTCTCTCACTGGAGTGTGGAACTGAACATATTTTTGATGGTTTTACAAGTGCTATTGACAACCATACCTTTGCAAAATAGGTGATTCTGGGTCTCATGCAAAGGCAATAGCTGTCTGTCTGTAAATTTTTTGATAAATCATTTTAACTAGATTCTGACCTGAGTGAACTAAAGAAAATTGAGCTTTTCTGGTGTTCCACAAGGGACTTTGAAGGTGGCCCTCCCTTTATATGAGGTTGATTTGATCATAGTATGAAACAAATAAAAATGTTTAAGACAAAGACCTAGCTCTTTTTATGTGAAATTTCAAGCAGATCTGTGTTTTATCAGTTCATGCAGTTGAATATCTTGAAAATATTTAATTTTTAAAGCCTGCATTATACATAGGCAGGCTAAAAATGCCACTTATTTTAAAGCCAAAGAGTTTATCAAAGCTTTGGAATGAGATGTATTGGATGAGATCTATAATCTGCTTTTTTTTGGGGGGCTGATAACACCAGGACTGTTCTGAAGCTTAAAATGTCTTATTCATTGAGGCATTTCTTCATCATGACAAAAGCACAGGAGTGCTACAAATCAGCAAGACCAGAGTCTTGCAACAGAACCTGTAAGACCTCACGAGGTTCTTTGCCTTTTGTGTCTCTTCCCCCATGTTTGAGAACTATCACAACATCCCTGTGTCCTTTGAAGTGTGTGGGGTGCTCTTGGTATGGCTCAACATGGCTTTGAAAGCATTGGCTCAGCTCCTGAGAGCTGCAGAGGCACAGTGAGCTCACCTGAGGTGATGAGCTGTGCTGCCAAGGTGGCCAGGTATGGGTGATTTCAGTCCTGCTTCAGGAGCCATGGATCCAAGAGCCATCCAGCTAAGCCAAGATCTGTGAAGTTTGAGTGTTTGGGGCTTGATGAGTGAAGTACCTTTGATCTTCCTTTATTTTTATTTTTTATTACTTTTTTCCAGAAATAGAAACAACTCTAAAATATCAAATTAAGCAAGTTCCTTAAAGCTGCACATAATATTAGAGGGATGAGTGTAGTTTTCAGTCCCACAAGAAATCTTCACTCTTGGGAGAAGAGGCTGTTGCAGAAGGGCTTGGGGTCTGTTTGCTCTTTCCTGTCCTGCCTCTGGAAATCCTGTATTGTATGTATATTGATTTCACACCCCTCTAAGGTATTGCTCAATGCAGGGCTGGGTTCCCACCCCAGCCATGTAAAGTCTGAGTTTCAGCACCACACAGGGTCTGAGAGCTGGTGGCAGCTGGAGCTGCAGCAGGAAAATGTAGGCTCAGCCCTTTGTGGTTCTGGCTAGGCTTCCCTTTAGTCATCACCATCCAATCTGAAGTGGCAACATCTGTTGAAAGGAATTTTCAGGTGCCTTTGGGAAATTCCTGGGGGTGCTTTTAGCTCTCTGTTTTTCTAGACTTCCTCTGTAATCCCAGTCAGGTCTGTTAAGGTCTTAGTGCTTCCAATGCAAGAACAGCTGTCAAAAAATGGTGATTGAACAACACAGGAAAGACTGAGATCATGGGAAACTTCTTTTAGCAATCCACTTTTTAGCCATAGCTTTTTGTGGAAGAGAAGGCTGCCCTCTGGATTTCCATGGAGTCACCTGCAGGTAGTAGGCTTTTGCACAGTGCCTGGATAACATTTTGGTTCCAGGGACATTTGTGGGCAGCGGATAGTTCAGAGACACCTCACAGGGTTTAGGGGATTTATGTGCTACCCCTTCCTAGGCTGAGGTCACCAACAACGTTTCTGGTGCAGTGATATCCATTTTGAATAAACTGGAAGATAAATATTTCCTTCAGTCATGTTCATGTGACTGTGTGATTTGAGGGCACCACTGTCCTCTTAAGCAAGTTCCTCACACTGAGTAGTTTTACTATTCAAATCAGAAGACAGTGTTTAAATACTGTGTTGAACTTGTAGACAGCACATGACGCATAGGATTGTATCTTGAAGTGTAAACTGCTCCTTCAAGTTAGTTTATGTCTCTTCTCATTCGTTCTTTTGCTGCCAAACTGAAATGCTGGGGTGGGGTTTAATTCATTTTACCTGAACTTGAGCAAAAGGAAGTGAAAAACCAGACCCAGGACTCAAGCTTGTGAAAGGCAGGATCAGACCCCAGGATAAGAAAATTGTGCTGTGATTCTGCCATCTGGCTGGGAGCTGTGGTGGAGCTCTTACAGAAAGGACAGCAGTTCTGCTTAAAAAGAGATATCAATGACACTAATGCTGTTGTGTTTGATTTACAGTGGGAAGCCCCATCCCTGTAAAACAGAACTTGAACCCCACCACTGAAGAGATTGATCAGCTACATGCATTGTATCTACAGAAACTAAAGAAATTATTTGAAGAACACAAAAGCAATTATGGCATCCCTGCACATAAATCTCTCATCTTCGAGTAGAAAATTACAATTTGTAATTCTGAATCTCATGGAAAGAAACAGTATCTGCTGAAAGATGTCTTTCTTGCAATCCACATTTAGCAATCTGTAATTATCCTTGTAAAAGGAATACTTTTAAGGATGGATTATTAGATGATTTATTGATTTTTATCTTATTCTTGGGCAGTGGGGGGAGGGATCATTGGGATGTAAGCCTCGAAGCCAGTGCTATTTTGAGTTGTCCTTTTAGGTTCATGTGTGCCAGAAATGCGAGTGAGAGACCCCACACAGATGTTTTTACCACCATGGTACCTACCCACAGCTTGAGCATAGGAAATTGCCCCAGCAGGAGATCAGCAGCAGAAGTATAAACCCAAGAAGCCTTCGATTAGAGGTTGAGAGATTTACCAGCATTTATCAAACATGATATCAGATTGTTCTCTGAACGTCAGAAACCCCTGCTGCTTTTCCACAGGAATGAAGGTGTATGATTTCAGCAGATGGCTACTGTAAACCACTTACATGAGAATTCAAGAATAAATAGGAACCTTCAGCCCTGAATAGGATACTGGAAAAAATGTTTTGTCCAAGTCATGGAGCAGAGCAAACCTTCTGTTTGGAGAACAGTGTGTTGAAATTTTGGTGTGTATGTGTGTGCTGGGTGGTGGGAAGCACTGAATGATGTGACTTTTCTGGACAGTCTGTGCTTTGGATCATAAGTTTGGAAGGTGAAGCAGCTTTGGTAGTTTCAGCTTCAGAAGAGATGGCAGGCACAGAACAGGAAAAGTGAGGGAATCATGTGAACTCTTCATCCTGTACAAATTAAAAATAATCCTATGTCAAGCATTGCACAGAAGGAAAGGGAGCCAAATTTGTTCAGTCAGTTCTGAAATTTCACCAAGAAAAGTGTACTTGATAATGCCTTTTTTTCCCCACTGACAGATGTGGGGAAGTGTGTGTTAAGCTGGTGCTGCAGGGTGACACAGCTGCAGTGCCGAGGCAGTGTGAGCATAGCTCTAGGGTGCAGCAGGTTATAAGAGGATGCATTGTATATAAACCAGGTGCCTGAATTGGAGAAAAGTTCTATCCTAAATGTGGATATCCACTTCAGAAGAGAAAAGAAAAAAATCTTAGCCAAACTATTTTTCAGTGAAAATGCCTAGGTCTTGGAGAGTATTGTGCATGGGAAGAATTGTAATATATTACTGAATTTTTATGAGATAAATTCTTGTATTTGTAAATGCTTTTTGTCTGCCTGCAGACTTTGCAGGTCTGATGTTAGTGAAGAGTTTGCTCTGCTCTAAGCAGTTTTGGTGCCTAAACATTACATAAGTTAGGTGCTCTGACAGGTCATGCATGGGCTTGTCAGGCAGCCTGGGTATCTTCAGTTGGCTCAGTTGAGCACTGAGGTGCTCCAGGAATAGCAGCACTGGACACCTTGTGTATTCAATGGGCTGTAGGCTCTTAGAAGAAACACAGCTGGGGCTTTGAGAACAAGGCAGAACTCTGGAAAGAAAATATCTTAGCAATTTGAAGGTGTTTAAAGAAAAGAGTGGAAATGGACTGAGCTCCAACTGAACCAACACCCCAAAGCCAAACAAGTATTTGCCAGACAGAGCAGATGTATGTGCTTCAAAAAGCCCTCCAGCAACAAGGTGGTTTCCTTAAGAGGGCTCTTCCTTCTAGTGCCCATTTGTCATCCGGATGTAAACAACACTGAGCCAACACTGAGTCCTGCTCTCATTTTCCCTACAATGACACAATCTTTCTGGGAACCAGGGCTGGAATTTCAGTGCTTGAAGAAGCCCCTCTTCCCTGGCAGACTGCTGTCAATGTGCCCACAATCCACCTCTACCTGAGCTTGGTACCATGTGTGCTTGCCCTCCCTTTCCACGCCTTTGCTGATCACTGATGATCACTGTGGTGTAGGCATCTTGCTTCCTCACTTTCTGCCCTCCTTTCCCTGGGCTGAGATCTGTGGTCTCTGTGCATGGAAAATACTGAGTGGTGGCTTATCATTCAGCAGAAATGGGGTTTAGGAGCAGGGTTTGGGAAGAGGAAGCACTCTGGTTTTGCAAGTTTGACACCAGCCTAAAATCAGGACTGTTTCAGCTCTGGAAAGGGCATGTTTCTAGGGAGATCAGACATGGCAGGTTTGTTACCTGGGAAGAGGTCTCAGGATCCTGAGAATTGTACAAATGACAGATGACCCCTGAGCTCTTGCTTTTTCTTAGTCAGCTACGTGAAATTTCCTTTGAATTTGACTCTTTATTGCCTGCCCTGATGAGCAGTGAGGATTATTCATGAAAGAAGAATTTGGAGTCTATGTCAGACTGCTCTCTCCTAGATCATCTGCTCTAATGAGATATTTCCTCTCATTCTCAGTCTGCTCTTTTTCCATTACCTTAATGATAGAGAAAATCTGGCTGTAAATTTTAAAAATATTAGCATTGGGTTGAGGATGGAAAGTAACAATTGTTTTTTGTTGATTAAATTAATCAAAATTTCTTGGGAATATGTGGACACTGATTTTGGGACAATATCTGGTCCAAAGATACCCTATAAACAGGCTTTCCTCTGAATTCCATGAGGAAATTATCTGTGGGCTCTCTGTACCATCCATAATTGGCTTAGGAAGAAGAAGTAGGGATTGTGTTGCTATGGCTACTGATATTATCATTGTTTTGTAACAATGGAGATGGTAAAAAACCCCCAAAACTAAAAAGCCCAACAAAAAACAACAATAGAATCTCCAAACAACTCAAATATTTATTGTTGCTCAGTTACCACTGCATATTGCTTATGATGGTCCTTCCAAAGTACCTTTTTTTATTGTCTAGTGCACCCAGGACTACTTGAAAGTAGAACTTCTGTCTCTAAATGTGGTAGACATGGTGTCATCTAAGGTATTGACCTGTGTGTGGATCTATAAAACAATCCTGAGCCTAAAGGCCAGAGCCCTGGCAGCCACAGACCCATTTTGGCTACCACAGGCACCAGTCCCAGCGCTGCTACAGGCACGAGGAAGCTGCCCATGTTTGTTGGAGCAAGAGTCTCCAGTTGCAGCTCATGCTGGACAAAGCAAGAGCAAGGAGCTGGTAGGAATGGTGACACACCCTCCCACAGCTGGAACTGGAAGAACTGGGCAGCACTCAGATTCCTGGTGGGGATGCCACACTGCCTGGGGCCTGCTTCGTGGGGTGTTTCTCTTTGTGCCTTTTAATGGCACAGGTAATCCCAGGGAAGCCAGCCATCCATCAACAGGAGAAGCTCTGCCTCTAAACCGTGCAAACACTGCCTCCCTGACACACTCAGGATGAATTACCTGCCTGTTCCCTCGTGTGTGAACACCTCTGTGCCAAATTCTGTTGACAGAAAGTCATTCCTGAGTATTTTTACTTTGTGGACTACGCAGCATAGTTTACACTTTGTAACTTTTTATGGTACCTGTAAAATATGAATGTCAGCTGTTTCAATGATAGCTGTGGCAAGGAGGTGTCAGCTAATAAAGGTTTGTACCAAAGTGGGCTTGTGCTGACTGGAATTCACTGCTGCTGGGTGAGGATCCTGGCTGAACTCAAGGGGTCACAATAGCCTGGCTGTCAGACTGTGCTCGTATCACACTGAGAAATCTGGATGGATTGCTTGCTGCAATCTCCTGAGGAGAGCCTGAAGCCAGGTTCCTGATGGGGTTCCAAAAGGTCTGAGGAAGAAGAGACCCACAGCAGGGAAGGACTGAGCTGCAGCAGCCTTCAATCAGTGCCAAGGGGCACAGCAGGGATGTTTGAACATGGGAGGGTGGGCAATCTTATGAGGAACTGATGGAATAACAGCTTTTGGAGTTTTGAAGAAATGTTTGGATTCTAAGTGAAAGTTGCATGAAGGAGTCCAAATCTTAGTCCAAACCCTAGAAAGGCTACTACCCTACAGAGGCTCTCCTTCACTCTAGGAAGAGGGGAGGTAAACAGCTGACTGGAGTAAAAAATGGGTTACATTTGTCTCTTGGGAAGAGGAAAACCACTCACCTGGTAAGAGTGATGTATTTAATGGGAGTTGGTTGTTTGGGGGTTTTTTAAGTACGGCTGCTTAATGCAGCATTAACAGCTGTAGTGACAAGTATCAATTCCAAAGACTGGCAAAAGCTAATAGTATTTTGTTACTAGCTTAATACTTTTTTTATGGAATGATGCCACCTTGCATGTCAGAAGAGTATAAAGAGGAAAAATGGGTTTAAAGTGGCCTTGGAGTGTTTTGAAGTAGCCCTATTATGTGTGTGCACATGTGTAAATTGGAGGTGTGTCATGGTTCATCAATGGATCAACATTACATCCTGGTTTTGCTGAAATACAAAAAAAAAGCAAGTTATACCTGTAAAGCAAGGAGTGGAGGAAAACAAGGAATGGAGAGGAACTGGACATTCATGCTTCCCAAGGTGCTGCAGCAACACTCATCTTTATCACCATTGCTTGTGATAGGTGAGTGATGTTACCTCCTCAGCCAGGTAGTGGATTCTGAAGGCAGTTGGGTGGCCTGAGGGATGTAGACAGTGTTTCAGCTCAGGTTTCTTAAGGTTGGCATCAATTTCATGTCAGCTGAACTGCTCAGTGCCTACAATGCAGATCCCAGACTTCCTTTGTATTTTCCCAGTTTAATAGACAGAATAAAGCTGCAGAGAAGGGTGAGGAGAGGAAAAAAAAAAATAGAGGAAATAGATTTTCTTTGTCATATGCTGAGAAATATATCCATTTATAAAAGTAACTAAAAACTATAGGTGAAGAACCATATGCTCCTTTTAACATGATGCTTTTCATACCCTAACATTAAGTTTCACAAATAGCACAAACTTGGGAAAAGCCTTCTCCAGTGCAAAGGGAGAGACTTCCTTAAAGTATTCTGGAATAAGAAATACTTGTTGCCCAATTTGGTGTACATCTAGCCTGGATCTTTTTCCATCTTGGACAGTAGTTACAACTAAAACTGTTGGCCAGCTCACACCTGTTTGTCCAATTTATTTTCAGTTAAATTTCCCACTGGCACAAATGGATCCCCGTTGCTTTTGGAATGGCTATGATGAAATTTAATGAACAGTCCAAGAGCCTGTCACGTTGGATGTGAGCTTTTCTTGGCTAACAAGAATCAACAGTGGGCTCACCTTTCCGTTCTGTCAGCAAGCAGTATTTAATCCCAGGAAATAGGTGTGTTACCTGGAAATTTGGCATTCTCCCTATTTACAGAACAGATACTGTCCTCTAGAGAGGTGAATTATAGTGTCTTCCAAGGGAAGTTGTTTAGGACTAAGTCTTACACAAAATATGAATATGTTGTGCTTGCAAACGCACTGAGGTCCATGTTAAAACAGAAGCCAGGTGATTGATTTATTGCTAAAATTTATCCTATTTCTCATTTCAGCGCTGCTTCTGGCAAGTGACACAGCACTGGCTTTTAAAGCTTCACAAACGTAGGGAACGCTGGGCTGTGCGGGACCGGGCCGGGCTGTGCGGGGCCGGGCGGATCTGTGCGGGACCGGGCCGGGCTGGGCTGGGCTGTGCGGGGCCGGGGGGAGCTGTGCGGGACCGGGCCGGGCCGG